CGCCGCCCCCGGTGGGCGTGGGTGACCGTGAGCCGCCCGGGGACACGCGGGACGGGGCCGGCGCCGCCTCCCCGAAAACACCCGTGTCCTGGACTCCCCCGGCTTCCTCCTGCCTCCCAATAGCCAGCCGAGCTTCTAGAATCGAGGGAACCTGGTCCGAAGCCTGGCGGGCCGCGGCTGGGCACCGGCTGCGGCCTGGCACGTGCCGCTGGGCTCTGGACTCGCGTCCTCGTCTCCGGAAACAGTAATAGGAAAAGCGAGCGAGCGAGGGCCTGGGCCTGACTGTGGCATCGTTACCGCTGGCAGCATGGTGGCCGGGTCCCCAGCCTCTGACGAGGTCTCGGGCCTTCCCTCCTCAGCCCCGGGCTGGGCAGCACCCGGGGCGCTGCCCGGCAGGGCCGCTCCCGTTCTTGCAGCCTGAGCGAGCTGCCTCCGCGGCTCGGGGCTCCTGGCATCCCGGAAGCAGCTGCACAGCTGGGGACCGTGTGACCCTCGAGCTCTGCCCCCTGGCCGGTGTGCCCTCCAGTGTGCGGCTCCTTGAGCCATTTGGGCCCAGGGGCGTCCCCCGGCCGCACCCCGCCCCTCCTGTCCACTCCCACTGCTGAGCTGTGGGAGGCCCCGGACTTTGCTGGAAGCACCCGGCTGCTTATCTCTGTGGGGCTCTAGCCTGGCAGCCAGGGGTCGGGAGGTGGCCGCTGCTGGCGACCTTGGGCGGGGTGTCCCCGGCCGGCCGTGGGGGGTGGTAGGGGGCCCTCCGCGGCGCAGGCCCGGCCCAGCTGGCCGCCTTTGTGACTGGGAGTGGTCTCCGGCCGCTCCTCGGCCAGCCCACCTCCTGGAGCACGTGGCCAGCTTCCAGCCGCGGGGAAGAAGTCTGGCTTCGCTTGGGAAGGCGGCCAGTTGGGCTTTTTCCTGCGGTGTGGCTTGCGTCGGGCTTGTTGTAGACGGCCGCTCCTCCGTGGCAGGGTCACGACTGGGGGCTGCCCGCCCCAGCGGCCGACTCACCAAGGTCAGGCCGCGGCCGGGCTGGGCTGGGGCTCCAGGTGTCTCCCAGGCCGAGCCTGGGCCCGGCACCCCCTCGCCCCAGCTGTCTGGGCTATTTTGAGCGCCCTCCTGTGCCAGCTGCCTGCTAAGAGCGGCCTGGTTGGAAGGAAGCCGCCTGGCGCTCTGGGCTCCCGGTGAGCGCCAGCCGGGCACCGGGCACCTGGTCCCGGTGAGCTGGGTTGGGTTCAGCTCGTCCTCCCCGCCCCAGCGCGGAGCCCTGACCCCCGCCCCCGCCAGGAGAGGGGGAGGGGCCTGCGGGTTCTTCCAGGGCTCGAGGCCTTGCGTGGGGGGCTTTACCCCCTCCCGGCGGCCTCCCCTGCCCCAACCCTTGGGTGTCTGGGGAACGGCGAGGAGTGCGTGTCCCGGACCCACAGACCCTGTGCCTCCCTCCCCCTGGGGCCCCATCTGGGCTTTTATCACCTTTCTGTCCACTCCGCTTTCCCTGCCAGCGCCTGGAGGAGCTGGGCGGTCTCCCGCCTTCGTCCGGCCCGGAGGAGCTCCGCCCACCGCCCGCGGCCCGGGGCGGGGCTGCTCGCGGCCTGCTCGCTAGGGCCA